TACACACACACACACACACACACACACACAGCATAAAAACATGAAACAGCCACCTGCAGTTTGAAGTGATAGAGTCAGAGCAGAGCAACAGTATATTGTTCTTTTGGTCGTGTATCTTCGATCTCTGTCTGAGAGTATTTTTGCCACACATGCACAGAATGAGCTGTTTTGGAAACCATTGGACTGCCAAATCAAGGACAGAGTTATGTAGCCCTCAAGTATAACAGGAATCTCTTTCACTAAATAAACACTTTGCAAATGCAAAGCTCTGTTCAATATCTTTGGTTAATGGAAGTGTAGCTATTGGTACAAAGAGGACAGCTGTGATGGCATACTTAAACTTTTGGATGACATAAACCTCTGAGGGATTGCAAATGCTTTAGAAGATAGGCTAAAAGTTCAATAAGATAATCAATAAAATGAAGTGCTAGGCAAATAACAACGCAATTAAGTGGAACAATGACAAACATAAACACTGGAACATGAGAAAGGAGTATCAAATGCACAATGATGATAAATAGCTAGAGGATTCATAAAAAGCACATAGAGGTTGGAACAGTTGGACCAAATGGGATGTTCTGGCAGAAAAGGCATAGCAAGAAGCTGGTCTAATTATATCTCTTTCACACTAATGTCTCCAACACTCTGCTTTCGAGAATTTGTCTGTGCAATGAGCCTGTGGGACAAAGCAGATGTTCCTTTCGATCTGTATCTAGCCACTACATCTTTTTCCATGTTTACTCTAAAAACAGTGTGTGGACTCCACTCTAGACCTTAAATGCCAGGATGCCAATCCAGAATGCACCTATTCTAGAGTAAAAATGGGAGGAAAGCATAAGTGCTAGATAGAAATGTAAAATGGTGTTTGCTTTGGTTCTGTCCCAGTTAGATGTCCCAGGAAGCTTACTGGAAAGGTACAAGGACATAGCTTTTCGACTGCTGTGTGTCCCTAGCGCCTCGCATTTGATGGAATACTGCCACCAAAACATGGAGGCTTTATTTTGGCTTCTGTGTCTAATAGCAGCTGATAGACAAATCCTGCAAGAAATTAAAATGTAAACATTTGCTCTCCCCTGACAAGACACAGGACAAGCCAGGAACCAACAAAACAAACCTTTTGCAGGAAGGAAGGAAGGAAGGACGGAAGGAAGGAAGGACGGAAGGACGGAAGGACAGATGAGAAGAGAATCATTATCACCCAGCTAGTGCAAGTCAGTTCAGCCTTGCTAAGTGGTCATGTGCTCATAACGCCATGTCTGAGAAGGAGTCCAGCAACCATCACTCTGCAGGTGCCATGGCATCCTATGGGAGGCAGGAAGCTGCCTTCTAGCAGGCCAGACCACAGTGGAGCTCGGTGTCGTCTGTTCCGGGAAGAAGGGGTGAATCTCTTTCATCCCAAGCACAGAATTCCATGTTGGAGAACCTGCCCAGGTTCACCTTACAGGGATGGGTGGAGCCTAGAGGAAAGGGGTGTGGCCAAGGCATCCACAAAGCCTTTGCTGAGTGGAAAGCTTTTGCTGCCCATCATGAAGGGGAAGGGGCCACAGCCCTCTGCGGAAATGCACAGGGTCAGATTAGAAGCCCAGCTGGGTTGGGGTTTGGCCCATGGCCTGCAGCTCAGCAGTCAGATTCTTGGCTGATGGGCCACAGCTCATCAGGGCTGCAGGCAGGAGTCCTTCCCAGCCCTACCTGGAGAGTCTGGGGCTGAAGCACAAAGTACGCACTCCACTCTGGAGCCTAGGCCCCGACACCACCCGCCCTGCCGGTCAGCGTTCCCGGCTATTCATTCTCACACCAGTCTTCATTCTGCTGCATCCATGTAACCTCCACATCATTTGTCATGCTTTGGCTCTCAGCTGACCATTCAGGTATGAAGTTAAACTGTGTACAATACAATGGTCCAGGCACACAGGAAACTTTAATGCCCCCTTTAGCATAACACTGAAGTCTGATACTTTGAAATACAATCTCCCAGCCGTGAAGTACAAATAAAGCTCCTTCCTTCACTAAGCGGTACCAGCCCTGCAAGTGAACCACACACAAAGAGTGAACAAACAGTATAGAATTTCTTCTCTCTTTTGTGCAGTGAACCCAGCAGTGTTTCAGCTTACCTACTGCTGCCTCACCTATCTACACCATCAGTGTGAGACACCATGTAAGGTGTCTCTTTCCTCCTGTTTTCCCTCTTGTGCTTTTTAAAAGTCAGCGAGTGCAAAAAGAATTGGTAATCCATTTCACATTGCTATCCTATCCCAAACATCTTTGAGTATTGCAAGATTAAAATCAAATTGATGAATTGGTAGCACCTTCTTTAAGCAGACTGCCCAGACACAATCCCCCCCCCCACACCACCACATTTCTCTATGATCTAAAAACACTTCGGAAACATTAAGCATCCCACTACTGTGGAGTAATTAGAAAGTAGTTAGCGTCATTACTCTGAACATGCCCTGATTAATATCCAATTAAATGGATCCTAGTTGGTCTTAGAAGCAATGCATCAGGATGATTACACAGACTCCATTCAATATATTTCTTTTCTGCGCCTGAGCGATTAGAAAGTTTTCTGCACGCTTCTGAATAAACACTGAGCCCTCAGAAGTAGCATTACTGTGATTTTTTCTGAACAACTCAAAATTGGGGATCAAAGGAATAAATTCAAACTTAAGTGAGTGGACTTCTGCTCATTCCACGAGGGTTTCTTCTCCCTCCCTACCCCTCCAGCTCCCCAAAGCTCCTACTCCTCTGGAGGAGATTTGGGGCTGCATTCCAGGCTGCAGAGGAAAGGAGAAGTTTCTTCCCACCAGCATTAGCTATTCTGCTGGGAGAAGAACATCACTCGATAACTCCCAATACACCTTCTAGAATTTCGGTGTGATCACCAGATAATGCTTCTGACCCAGGCCCCATTCAGGTGCTCTGAAACTCCATCTTCATTTTCATCACTTACAATTTGGGATGGGTGAGCAAGCAACATTCAAGATTGAAAAGACTCTCCAAATGTTGGTTTCCTATTCGTCCTGTGCATAGTTCCCATTCATGTTTGCAATCGTGATCTGCTCTGGACAAAGGAGGAAATCTGCATAAAGGAAGCAGAGATTGCAAATTTCCCTCCACTTTACACAAACTGGCTCCACAAACTAAAGTGGAGCTGATCCATTCTGCAGGGAAAATGTGTGCAAATCGAACAGGGGAATCTGCCCAAATCCACACAAGAATATATTGGGCAATTTATGCACCTCCTCTGCACACTCACACCTAGTGTTATGCTCAGAGAAGATCTGCGTGCTTTACAGGTAAAAATCATTGTCTAAATCTCTACATCCCTGGACCAACAGAAAGACAAACAATTGGGTCCTGGATCAGACCAAGCCATAGTTTTCCTGGAAGCAAAGCTGAGAAAACTGAGGCTGTACTTTGGACATGTCATGAGAGGCAAGACTCACCAGAGAAAACTCTAATAGAAACATAGAAACAAAGCAAGACAGAAGGGGTCTCCTAGGCCATCTAGTCTGACCCCCCCGCTCCAGTCAGCTCCGCTCATGTAATCCCCAACATGCGGTTGTCCAACCTTTCCTTGAATACCCTCACTGATGGGGCCTCAGCCACCTCCCTTGGAAGACCATTCCATATCCTGGGGGTCCAAACTGTCCAGAAGTGCTTCCTGACATCCAACCTGAAGCCTGGTTCCTTGAGCTAAGGACAACCATGCTAGGGGAAGTCAAAGGCAGAAGACAAACAGGAAGACCAAATATGAGATGGATCCATAAGGGAAGCCATGTCTTTGAACTTGGGAGAGCTGAATGGAGCAGCCACGGACAGGGCATCTTGGCGGGCTTCCATTCATGGAGTCACCATAAGATGGAGGTGATTTGAGAGCACACAACTACCATGTTATGCCCATGGAGAGTGACTTTCTGATGAGCAGAGCCTCTTGTATACATGGAAGTCCTTCATGAGATTTTGAAAACTGTTCATAGAACAGAACAAGAACATGTTTCACCTAAATGGTGGTGATGCAGACTTTGGTGTCAGAGTGTCTCTGTTATGCAGCAGCATCTTTCAGAAGGTGGCTAGGAATCCTGGCTCAGCTAGGAAGCTCAGGTAGTACACTTGAACAAATTGCCCTCTCTTTTAGCCCAATTGACTTCATAGGGTTATCATGGGGGGGAATGGGGAGAACAACGTATACTGTCTTGAGTTCCTTGGAAGAAAAGCAGGCTGAACATGTAATAAATGGATCAAAAGATAAAACTATATGGAACAACAGTGGAGTAGTGCTAAATCGGGAAGCGTAAGTGCACAGCATGACAGTCCCCCATAGCTTCCCTGCAAGAAGCATCCAAACACTTCGATAGTGGCATTGATCCACCTCAGTTCTAGCAGATTTCATTTCCACTGGGAGAAAGTCCTTTACAGCTTGTGAGTCTTAATGGACCAGTCCAACCAGGCTACCCCGAAAGATGAGGCATTACAACTGGGAACAAGCTACCATAGAGAACATTCTGAGAAAGTTCATTTCCCCCAGCCACTGGGAGGGATGCAGCTAAACTAAGGGGGAGCAGGGCATTCTGGGAGGGGGGCTGCTGGCATCAGCATCCCTGCTAATCAGGAAGTGTCAGGGCTGCTGCCCTGCAGTGCATGGCCACCGCTACGCCGCTGTTCTTTAGGCAGAAGCAAGGATCACTGGCATAACCTGGTGCACTTAACAGACAAGTTAACTGGCCCAATAGGGCAAAGCCGCCTGCCCGTCATTCTCAATATTCCTTTAGCATCAAATTTAGCAGCTCACCAAAGCAATGGCGCTTCTGGTTTGCATCACGTCCAACAGTCTGACTGTCCATGCATTTGATACTGGTCCAATACACTATTCGTTGGCTTGGCCCAATCTAGTCCAAATTTTACAGGGAGGGTGAAGGCACTGAATCGCCCCACCCAATCTCCAGCCCCACAAGCACACACAGGAAGGGAACGGAATGGATCCAAGTGGATGCTCTTACCATATTTGTCTCCGTCTTCTCCTTTGGCACTGATCCGTCTCCCTAGCACTTGGATATGTTTCCCACTCGTTCTACTGTACAGCTGATAGAGTCGGAGCTGCTTCCGGCTTACATCATCTCGTGCGCGTGTTTGGTTTTCCACGTGTATCCGAAAATCCACATTTTCTTCGGCGACAAACATCTAATTTTAAAAAGGGATGGGGGGAAGCAATCAGTGACCCAAGGCAAAGATGCTAAATAGCTCTACGCATATCACTTGCACTCAGAAGCTTGTTCACAACACATTTATTCCATGAAGATACTCGGTGGAGTTCCCAAAGTTAGTTTATGCAATCAGAGGCAGGGGTGCTCCAGGTCTTCTACCCAGCCCACCTCACTTGGCCCTGGCTTCACCTACCAGAGCTTCTTGTCTGCAGGGATGGAGGCAAAGGTCAGCATGACTGGACCAGACACCAGGAGGGGTGCATTAACAAGAGCTCCCTATGGCACCCTGCTTGTTCACCCACCCTTCACTCTGGCCCAAAGAACAATGGGGGGCAGAGGAGTGGGGCTGAGCCTACTGCTTACCAGCTTAATCTCTCTCTGACAAGCAAGCTTGTGGCACTAATGCTGAGAAAGTGAACGAGGAGCAATGGCAGCTGGTGACCATGGTGGTGAGAAGGTGGGCTCCCTGAAGGGAGGGCCCAAGAGCCCCTCAAACCTGGAGCTAGCACTGCCCATCTGTCCCACCACCGCTCTGCCCATGGGAGCAACTCGTGGGCTGTGATAGTGCCCTGTTCAGAGACAGGGAACCCCAATTATCAGATTATGAACATAAAGCACAAAAGGAAACCTGCCGCCATGCACTGCTTCAGAAAGGAAATTGCTTTTGGCCCTACTCTTGGAAGCAGAGTGCTGCAGTGGAGACACCAAGTGTTTCCAAGGCCATGACCTACACGCAGACAATGTACGGAACCGGCTCAAAGTACCGACCCCCATCCAAAACTTCAGGATCAAGGTCTTCCCGAATAAGTTTCCCTTCTAAACTATCATTCTGCTCATGATTCAGTCCAATCAAGTGTATGCACTAGACAGGCATGCATTTAGTTGTGCTTCATGCCCTAACACTAAAATGACTTTTCGTTTTAATTATTGCATGAACCAATGCTAAACAAAAAACAAACAAAATTCAGTTTGAGTAGCTGTTCCCAGGAGACTGCATGCCATGAAACCAGGATGCAAAAGTATGAAACAATTTTAAGCCACAGAGGAGGTGAGAAGGACAGGGAAGGACAAGAATCGCAATGCTTACAGTTCTTGCTCACCACTTCAGCAAATGCAACCCCAAAAAAGTTGCCACTACAAAACGTATTAGTCCAGGGACCTGTTGCTTGGAGCTCCTGCCTGAAGCAGCTTCTGAACACAGGGCATGGCAGAGTCTTCTGTCCGGTGTTGCTTCCCGGGTCCTAGTCCCATTGCAAACACATCCATTGCAGGCTTCCTTGACCCTTTGTTTCTGCATTTAATCTCTCCCTCCTGAGTTTTGCTGAGGGATTAATTTATGATTCTGACCTACAGTGTTCATGTTAAGCTTCCCTTCATCCTGCTGGACATCTTCATTCCCCCATCCTTTCTTCCTCAGCCTTCCTCTTGCTTCACTGAGGGTGCTCCTGAAGGTTTGGCCTCCACTGCTAGGCTTCTCCATGCCACCCTCTGCCTTGGGGTATGGAATGCCCTGCCCAGTCCAGAGTGAGCCTTTCAGCTCCTACCATGCCTCCTTCCTTTCTGCTCCCAGCTCCACCCACTCAAACAGTGGCGATGCCCACCACTCCCCACTCTCCTGCCCCATCTTCTCTCACATTCTTGTGCACTGGGGCCACCTCCCACCAGTCCCCGCCAGTCTCACTGGAACACCTACTGCAAGCTGAAGAAGAGAAGAGGAGCTGTGCTGCATCACATGAGGTCCTTCTAGTCCGGGGTTTCCAGCCACCTGCCCTATGGAAAGACACTGCCAGGACAGGAGTGCAACAGCACACTCCTGCCCATGTTCCCCATCCACTGCCTCTGATCCACGAGATACCATTTGGCCACCAGAACTAGTAACCACCAACAGTCTTCTCTATGGATTTTTAAAGCCCAGAGCAATGAGGGAATGAATACCATAGCTTAACTACCCACTGCATGAGGAAGTACTTCCACGGCTGTTGTCTGGGGCAATGCATCTTCTACCCACCTCTGCTCCTCTGCCCATGGTCCTCTCTTCTTCCTGAGGGACACACTCCAGAAGTTGCTGACCAGTCTTTCACACTCTGGCATTTTGTCTCCCAAACTGAGCCCAGCTCAGACAGACCTGCAGACTGTCACCGCATTGTACATGGAACATTCCTGTGCAAGATCCCATTATCTTCATCGCTCTGGGTCCCAGGGCAACCTTGAGCAATTCTCAGCATGCAGTGGCCCAGTAGTACCTGGGCTGCCTACCAGTCAGCTTGCCGCCTCTCCTTCCTCACCCGCTGCTTCTGTGCCCACACACAGCCACCCTTTTCAGTGACAGAGAGTGCAGAGGCAGTTTCTGGGGCCACACACCACTGCTGTCCACTTCCGTCAAGAGCCACTGGGAGGGCCTGCTCTGGGATATGCTCACCTGCTTGAGAAACCATTCTGAACACCCCTCTCTGCATCAAGGAAATACATACTGAACCAACATGCCACTTCAATGGGAGAAAAAAATGAGAGCAAGCCATATGCCCTCAAGCTGATGCACCCACTTGGAAGAGAGGGACTGGCCACTGTGACTCTGGGCTGACTTGAAGGTCTGGTCATTGTGACCCCTTGTTGAGGTTGCCCACCTGAAGGGGAGGGGCTGGCCTTTGTGACTTCATCCTCATACTGACCAACTGAAAGGCAGGGGCTGGCATTGTGACTTCATCCTGAAGTTGCGCACCTGGAAGACTGGCCATTATGACCTTGTGCTGATGCAGCCTACTTGAAGGACTGGCCATGGTGACTCCCTGGAGATGCCACCCTTCTGAAGAGAAGATACTAGCCATTGTGACCCCGTCTTGAGGCCACACACCTGTCAGACTGGCCATTGTGACCCTGTGCAGATATCACTTACCTGTAGGGGAGGGACTGGCCACTCTGACTCCATGAGGGGGAAGCCCACTTGAAGGACCATCCAGGATGGTGCTCTGGGGATGCTGCCCACCTGAAGGGGAGGGGCTGGCCATTGTTATCTCATGCATATACTGCCTTCCTGGAGGACTGGCCATTATGACTCTGTGCTGTCACCACACTCCTGAAGGACTGGCCACTGCAACCCCTTGCAGATGCTATCTTCCTGAAGGGGAGGAGCTGGCCATTGTGACCTCATCCT